GATTTAGAGTGAGGAAGCTCACGTATCGCACATGGTGCTGGGTAAAGGCTGAGGATGTGCCACTTGAATGGGAAACAGCATGAAGTCCACCTCTTAGCTGTCCACTGTCACTCTGGGCCCAGATGCTGGAAGTGAACCTTTCCACATCTCTCCAGGCCTCCGTTGCTCTTATCAGCTGTCAAATCAGCCTGCTCAGGGGCCTTTGGTCCAGGCTTTCTCAGATGTCCCGGGAAAGGGATCCATTATGGAGCTGGGGAAGGTTTCAGATGAATTTAAATGTCTAAGTGAATAAGCCATGAACTTTCTGGTGGCCAGGACTCTTTTTACTTACCTGTATCCTACACAGCCTGGCAGAGATAATATGCCCCATAAACTAACTGATGGGCTGATTGAAAATTAAAAGTTACCAAAGAAAGGAAAGAAAATTCGTTTCTCTTGGTGCTGAATAGAGAAGATCACTTATGTGAATCTCAGGTGTTGATGGATTTTTGTCCTTCGAGTAATGAGGACAGCCTGCCAAGTGAGCTGAGAATGGAGAGAGAGAATGGAAAGAAGATTAGTTCAGGCCTTACTCTGGGCTTTGCTGGCAACTATTAATATAAAAGGAAGAAAAACCCAAGGCAATGGAGATAATCAGCCTGGCCACCAACTGAATATTTTCTTTTATGTTTCTAGCTTGAGGTAATCTGCTACCGGTACACTGAGAGCATCTAACTAGACCCAGCCAAACAGCTGAAGCAAGGAAAAAAGTGTAAGTCCCAGTGGCAAGCAGAAAGTGTTGAACGACTGACTAAAATAGCAGTTGCTTTTCTTGTGACAAGTTGTGCAATTAGGTCTGAAAAAGCTCCGTTTCTCGATTCTAACCTTAAGAAAAAATAGTGGAAAATCCTGCCACGCTGAAATTCTTCAGAGCAATAGAACTGCCTGGGAAATTTCGTCTTCCTGATTCTAGGTGTCTTTCTGACTATCCACAGCATGTCCCCCTTGGGAAGATTTCCTGGTGTGCTTGTGATTTTGTCTTGGGGAGTGTGTGTTATTAGCACACCGTGGAGGCAGTATGGAAGGGTAGTAGGACTAAGGTTTGGGAGCTACTTTGGCTCCAAGTTCCATTTCGATGCTCATTATATTATGTGATTAAAAGTTACCTACATACCTCTCTGAGCCTAATCATTTACAGATCTGTAAAATGAGTCAAATAAAACTGTCCCCATATGCCTATCGTCAGGAAGGTTTAGCCTAGACCATCACTCAACCTGTAGGGCAAGTTCAATAAATGTAGGTCTCTTCTCCCAATGCATTGCAATGGACTCATTCATGGGAACCCACAATCTTTCCAGACAGCACAAAACATATGAAAGAGCTGCACAGCCTAGAAGTCAGAGGCACCTGTGAGTCAGACGGGTTCAGATCCTAGTGCTGTCACTTATGAGCAGCAGGACTGCAGACAGAGGAGATACTGCTAGGTTGATCATTTTAAAAAAGAAAAACCTAACAGCACTGGTATGACATGAGTTAATCTACTAAGGACCTAAGCACAGCCAGCGCTCTGTACATGTTACCTATCATCTCTGCTTGTAACCTAGTCAGCAGAACAACAGTGGTTAGGGGTTTGAGGAAAACAAGAACATAACTCTAAGGGTGAGAAGGATTGAGAAATAAGAATCTCCAGGTGGTATGGAACACATGACTGAGAGAATAAAAATAAGCCTTTGTGAAATCTCCTCTCTGTGAGAGTAGCCTCGATAAGAAATGGTAGACCAGCATCTCGATATATGATGAGCTTTTGCTACTCTAAGGTCGGCTAGTGCTTGCTAGGAAGAAACTTGTAAAGAGGATCAGTTTGTTTTGTGCACTAGACCTTGTCCTCTCCTTAATCCTTTTTTCTATCTTTCCAGGGCTCTGCTTCAGGTACTTGGTTTTGCAAGCCCTTGTTTCTTTGCTGCAACCCAGCTTCTCCACCAGCTCCATCCTCTCTACCTAAACCAGGGATCTTGTGATTCAGCATCAAGCACCCAGCCTTGCCTGCCTGCATGAAAACCACAAGGTGAACTTCCTAAAAATATATGCACAGTAGAATATTATTCAGCCATAAAAAATGAAATCCTGTCATTTGAGACAATGGAGTGGAACTGCAAAACATCATGTTAAATGAAATAAGCCCGGCATAGCAAGAGAAATATTGAATGTTCTCACTCATTTGGAAACTAAAAAAGTTGATCTCATTGGAGAAAAAGAGTAGAATAATGGCCGAGCATTTGGGGGTGGGTAGAAAATATTGAGATAATGGGAACCAAAATGAAAGTAATTAGAAGGAATTACTTCTAGGGTTCTACAGATGGGTAATTATAGACTACAACAACTTATTATGTATTTGAGAACAACTAGAAGGGTATAAAGATTCCTAACATATAAAACTGTAAATGTTGGAGGAGATGCAAATACTAATTGCCCTAATTTGATGACTACAAATTGTATACATGTATTAAATTATCATAATGTATCCCATAAATATGAATAAATATTATGTGTCAATTAACATTAAAATATAAACATATAGCTTCTCTGGTTCCACCTTCATTGAATTTGATCCAATAGGTCAGAGTCAGAGCTTGCCTATACATATTTTTATAAGTTGCTCGAGTAATTCTTAAGTATAGTCAGATTTTGGAATCGCGTTTCTAGACTTTTCCTAAACAGAAGTCAAAATTTTTCTCTCCTATGGCTCAGTCTTTCAGAGCCTTTTTGTCCCCTGACCTATCTAAAAACTTATTTGTGTTTTGAGTCCTTGAATAATTAATTGGTAAAAACTTCGTATGTTTTACACAAAGATTTTACACAAAAGATGTTATGCCATTAGCCAAAAAGTGAAAAATGTCAAGAGAAGAAAAGATCATGGAGACTCCCCTCCTCCCATCTTATAAATAGACCCTAAAGCTACAGCTTTCCTACCCCCTTCCCATTATCCTCCATGGTAGCCATGAAGGACATTCAAGTGGATAAAAGTTTGGAGACAAAGACAAAGAGGCATCAGAGATGTGCAGATTAAATAACAACCACCACCACCACAAACATATATTCAGCATCAAAGGCAAAGCACTAAGTACTTTACAAGGAATATTTCAACATTCCCATTGGTAAATCAAAGGGGACATTTGCTGATAAACGCACAATTAGATAATTTCACCCTTGTGTGTACGTAGACAAACTAAGACGGCTACAATGTCACCAGGTGACAGATCTAACAGGACCACTGTCTTATATGCCTCCTGTTGTTGACTAAACCATAATTATGTTCTGCATAATTAGTATTAGCAATTACACATTCATATTTGTATTCCTGTTTTACAAATGAAGAAGCTGAGATGCAAAGAAATTAACCTGCCTAAATTTACACAGCGAACAGGAGAGTATTTCACAGGACCCAGAGAATATGTAAGAGCTTGAAACTGCAGCTTAGCAGAGACAGAGCTGGTCTTCTCTTTTTTTCTCCAAAAAGAACAATATCAAGAAATAATAAAACTTTGGGGAGAAAGAAGCAAAACAATGCATGGCAAGAAAATGGCAGTATCTCCAGGACTTTCCAGATGAGAATTACCAAACTCGAGGCTCTGAAGCCTCTTTCTGGCATACAGTTGAGGAAAGCAAGCAGTGCCCTTCCTTGGACAGCCTAGGGGTGGGAGGTCATGGGGAACAGGAGTGCCTAGCAGGCTACTTTCGCTGTAGAAAACCAAACCTGCCAATGAGCTCGGGAAGGAAGAGCTTTCTGCAGGCTGCCCGGGCCAGGTCTACAGGATAAAAAGGAGCCAACAGATTCTATGGAAACTGTTCAGCCATACATATTATATCTAGTTGAGTCTAAAATAATTCAGAAGTCCAGAAAGCATCTTAAATAGATCACATCAAAATGGATTAAGATTCACTTCAATATGGCAGAACTTCCCTTGAATCTGACACTAATTTCCTGCCCTTTCAGGTCTTCTACAAGAGACTGCAGAGCTGGAAAGACAAGCAATCTTTGAGACTCTCCTCATCATATGCACAGTCTACAGCTGACTAATCTTCAAAGGCCCCTTTCTTATCCCCAACATTACATTCTGCTCCCTGGACTCACAAGCAAGCCTTGTGTTTGAACAGCCATTTTAACCTTGATGGCACCATCAATGAGAACTAATAATGCATGGACACTTCTTGGAATGCAAAAAATAAAAACATTCTCTGTAATTGGACTCGGATCAGTATCCATAAGGATTTTCAGGAGGTTCTGCAGAGATCAAAATATCTCCCTTGACCACCATTATCCAGATGCCCAGCCACAAATGACCCAATAAAGACCAATGGTCTTTTCTCCTCTTCAGTCATCAGTGCCAAACATGAGACACACCCCCTTCTCACCAAAACACACAGCCTCCAGGGGAAACCCAGCCTCACAAATAGTCCTGCCACCCTCTAACAAACTAGAAGGCTTATTCCTCTGCAGGGAGTGGAAGACATCAATTCCAAAAGAGTCAAAGAACAGCCTCTTTAAGAAGACTCCCTTTGGAAAAGATATTTAAGGAAAGTTGTGTTTGATGAAGTAAAACAGAATCAGCTGCTTCGATAGCACAGGCTTCTCAGATTCATTCTAAGGGAGACTGGCTTATTCGCTTCCAGGTGGAACGAACTCAACAACAATATATCACAGTTAACTGTAGTCACAACTCCATGGAATTTCAACCAGGGCCTAGAGCACACTGAGGTGCACTTAATATTCCCCAATCTGCAATCAACCTTTTGTACATTTGTTCCTAATCACAGGGTACAGTTTCATCTTAATGAACTGTTTTCTTACTGTATTACAGTTGGCCATTTCAGCATGCCTAATGGCCCATTCAATAGGTTAAATGACAATTAAGGTCCCTTAGTTCTGTTTCCTAGCAAGTCTTGGAGGGGTCTGATTTTTCCCCCTTCCCACTGCTTGATTTCAAGGGCAGAATCATTAAGGATCAAAGACAACGACTTACCGATTGCAGTCCACATGGAGCAAGAGGTGAGAGGCACTAACTGACAGAGCGACCTTGTGCCACTGCCCGTCTGCCATCTGGTAGGGAAATGCCTCTGTCCTGGGCTTCCCCTTATGCATGTAGCGATATCGAATCTCATCCCTCAGGCCACTGCTCTCCAGCTCAAAATAGCTGTATGCAAAAGAACAAAAATTTGTTTTATTTTAGTTCTGGGTCGCATGGCAATCATCAGCCCCTGGACCCACCAGGCTTCTCAGAACCTAAAATCAGCTAAACACCACACAAAGAGCCATGAATGACCCGAGATCAACTGTACCCCATGGGACCCAATTCACCCATTGTCTGAAAGCCCTTATGGCAACAACTTGAGCCTCTGAAATGAAGATCAGTAGGTCCACCATGAGGTAAGGAGTCACAAGCTAATTAGCAAAGCCTGCTGTGGTATTTCTTACATACTTAAAAGCACAGGTCAGGGGCCGGGGATTTAGCTCAGTGGTGCCACCGCCTGCCTCACAAGCCCAAGGTCCTGAGTTCGCTCCCCAGGTACCAGAAAAAACCAAAAAAAAAGCACAAGTCAGAACCCTCCTCCTATTGTCTAAGAAAGGCCATTCATGTGGAAAGGATTTATTGATGTTTATTTTTAGAACTGTCATTTTAACTGTTTCAAGAGTTAATGAGAAATACAAGTCATATTAGACATCGGGGATTGAAATACACTACAAGAGCAAAGGGATTAGTTAAGTCTTCCTCCTCCTCCTCCTCCTCTCCCTCCTCCTCCTCCTCCTCGCCTGGACAAAGTTTTAACTGGACAATTCCTAGAGGATGAGTAGAGGAGAAAAAGTTGAAGCTACTCACATATGAATCAGTACTTCAAATTATCCCAGAATAAAATGTTCAACTGGCTTCTCTTTCCTAAGATTGTTATGTTTTCCAGACCCATGAGAAATTCTTAGTGCCATTATTATAATCAGACTTTAGTCCAAAAGTACAGCAAGTAAGTTTGGGACACGCTTCAGACACCCACCAGATCGGGAGCCTTCAAGGATGACGACAGCATTTCATCTTCAGCACCTCTCTTCTGAGATGAGACACTGTCACTGTCATCAACATTGGGCCTGACCCGGCCGCTGGGCATTGCACTAGTGTGTCACATTCACTATCTAATTTATTGTCCACAAAACCTCAAAATTGATATTATTATCCCTTTTTAAACATTAAGAAATTGAGATTCAAGGATTAGGTAACATACCCGAGACAAGATTTAAACTCAGATCTCAATTTGATAGTCTGTGTACTTTTCAGCAGTTTACTGTCAACCCAGAGGGCACTCTCAGTCATGGCAAGGATGACCTTGATGCCAACCTCCTACAATGTGTCCATAGGACAACTCAAGAGCTACTCACCTGGACAGGGACCACACAATGGCTAGATTTGGAAGGACCTGCTGCCTCTCTTCTAACCCACTGGGTGGGCCTGACCCTAATAGCTAGACTGTATTTAATCTAAAATATAAAGTGCACCTTCTATGAGGATGAAATGAACATATCATGAAATTCAGCCTATATTATCCATGACTCCCAAAGCCCATGCCAGAGAACAAATGCTCATTTCTTGCTCTTCTCTCACAATGGATCTTCCCGAGAGAGAAGTCCGTGGGAAGGAGAATCAAAACCAGCCTGTGACCCACAACTCTTATGCCAGTACAAAGAACCAGGTGCAAATTGAAGAGATTATTTATACAGTAGCAGCCAGGGTCTCAGGCCCAGGTGCATACATATTAGTAATAATTAATAAAATGCAATTTTATAAGATCAGAAAGGAAGAACTTCCTTAAAATTTATCTTAAGGAAATTCTCCAATTTTATCTAAGCAACTAAAACAGTAGAAGAATTAATCAGGTAACTTAAAAGTCAAGAAGATCTTGGAGATTATCTGATCATTCATTAATTCACTCTGCATGTCTTTACTGAACATATAATGAAAGAATTAAAGCACATTAAAATACAGATCATCTCTTAAAATGTTTTGAGACTAACAAAGAAGATACTAAAATGTGTCCCTCCCCACCAAAACAGTAGAAAGTAGCCTAAGAGATAGGAAAAAAGAAACAAGGGAAGGTGACATTGAATGAGTGGATGCCATGTGCCAAGTGCTTTCACAAACCTCATCCCATTTAATTTTTAAATGGACATTATTATTCCTAGTTCACTAACATGATCAGAGCTATTAAGTGCTTTGCCCAAAATCCCTCAGCTCCAGTATAGAAAAGCACCATGATCTTAGAGTGGAAACTTTACCAAGATCCAAATGTCACAAGAAATCTCTCAATTACTTTATTTTGACCAATAAGTGACTCCTGGGGGAGAGGACATGACCTTAAAAGAACTTCAATCGATGACAATTAGATATGTTTATAGAAATCGGCTGATGCAATCATTAAAGAGGGAAGTAAATACATTTAACAGGATTTAATCAGTATTCCTGGGGCTATGGCCTCATTGAGCAAGTGCTTAATGTATTATAAATAGATCATTTAAAGATCACTTCACAAAGCATTGGAGTAAATGATTACCTTGTGGTAATCACAAACATACAGATATGAGAAGAGAAATCTGACTCTAAGTTACACAAGTGAACACTTGTATCTTAGGGGACGGTTTCAGACAGCATCAAAGAGTGCTGCATCTCAAACAGCTTGGATGAAATTCAAGACCTTCAAGACCATGTGTTTTTGCAAAAGAGTATGTTAGATAACTGGCAAAGTGATGCCAGGGGTGAGAATAAGCAGTGAATGAAGACTGAGAGGGGAGTACAACAACTATTTCCAGGCAATAACTCGAGCAGAGACATGAGACTTGACCCCGACAGCAACTTGGAGGGGTTATTGTTGACCTGGCGGGACTTAGCCATAGTAGGGCAGGGGAAACCTTGATTTGCAGTAGAGCCTTGTCCCCTACAGTGTGGCTTGCAAACAATCATCACCAGTGCTCATTCAGATTCCTGGGCCCCACCCAAGACTTCCTGAATCAGAACCTGCATTTCAATAAGACCCTGGATGATTCAGATGCACATTAAAGTTTAAGAAGCACTGCAGTGGAGTACACCAGGTGTTGCTTTACTTTCTGGCCAGCTGGCTGTAATGAAGGGAGCAGAAGTCTGACCCTATTAGCTGGTGACTAGGAGCCATGTGGTGCTGGCAGGGAGAGGAAAGAGATTGGGAGCGATCGGAAGCAACTGTCTGGGGAGCAGTCCAGCCATGACCGCCCTCACTCTTCAGGCGTCAAGGGCTGTGGGTCTTTCCAGAGTCTGGAGAGGGAGGGAGAGCAGGTCTCAGAGTGACAGAACCACAGCTGGATTTGTCGGCAGCTCTTCTCCCCTTAGCTTGGGACCTCAGCCAAGTGTGCGGTTCCAAAGAACTGCTCTTGCTCCCAGAGAAGCCCGCTCTCATTGTAATATTTAAAACAAGCAATGATATTCCTTCCTAATTTTTTTCTTTTTCAGGCCAAACATTCTTCCTTTATACTCCTTTTCCCCACCTATACTATGAACCCCTCCTGGATACGGATTCTGCCAAATTCCTCTTTCTAGACACTTCTCCATGTTGCTCACCAGGCTCTTCCCATGGTCAAATCCATCCATTTTCCACTTCGGTTAAGCATCTAGGAATAAAGGCACCTGTGCAGATGTGGACTAATGCAAAGTACAGTGACCTTATCTCCTGCTTCGCTCCGGGCCGTGCACAGGCGTGGATGCCTCCCACTGTTCACACAGACTTCCCATCAACGGAAGCCCAAGTCCTTTCACACATGGTGCTGTGGGGACAAATCTATCCCGGTGTCTCCAGAGCTGAACCTTGAAGGCCCAAGCCTTTGCTTAAGCTCGAGGCAGACCCTACTCTAGAACCTGAGTAACTCTTCCAAAGTCCACCCGTAGGTAGTAGGTAAAATCAGTATTACTGTGAACTGAAGTTAAATTTCGTAGGGTTAGCTGAAATCCATGGTATATTTAGAAACAAAATTCAGGAGAGTAATTCTAAATGATATAGAGAGATGAATATCACACGAGTCATTGTTATTAAAATGTTTATCACTTCCCCAAATTTGGTACAATATAACCCAATTTGCGATTGAGTGTGTATATATATATGTAGAGAGAGATTAGGAACTACATTTATCTCATAAGACAATTTGTAGAATATGACTGGAAAATAAAATCAATGTTTAAATTTTTAAAGTTCTATTGCATTAAAAGATACAATGCCATTAATCCCCCTCAAAAGCCCCCTCTCACTTCGAACACACTTATGCCACCATTCTTGCCACTTTCTGAAGCAGTTCTGGAAGTCCTCTTTTAGTTGCACTGTCCTGGCTGTCTTGATGTCCTGAATTGATTCAAAACACTTGCCTTGCATGGTCACTTTCACTTTGGGGAAGACTCAGAAGTCCAATGGTGCCACACTTGGTGACCAAGATGCATGAGGACACCGTATAGTGTCTTTATGAGCTGCCTTTCTGTTGGATGGCTCTAGACATTGGCATTTGGAGCAGTTATTTTACCACATCTCAAAAGGATTCATGAAGGAAGACTTCTAGAACCACTTCAGAAAGTTGGTAAGAATATGAGATAAATGTGTTCAAAGCAGGACAGAGTGTTCTGAGGGAGGCTGATAGCAATGTTTTTTGCTATAGTAACTTTTTAAAATTTAAACATTCACTGTGGTTTTTAATCACACAATATGAAGAGTAGGTATACTCAAAGTACTAATGTGGTTATTACTGAATGAATGTGTAGTTCCTGTACACAAGGACGAATACAGTACAAGTTAATTTTAAATGTTAATCAGTACTAATTCATTAGCGAAGATAAGAAGTCTCTATAAAGGTCTCTCTTCCAGCTACTCTATAAGGTATCTATTGTCTAGAGAAATACATTACACTTTGAAGAACTCCAGAGTTATTGCTATACCTACTCCAGTAGTGTCCCCTCTGTGGCCCTGAACAAGCAATTTCTTTGTGGAACTCTTGGTGGGAGATCAAGACTGGACAGACTTAGAAATGAAGGCCACACTCCTATCCAGTGTTTACCTCTGGCTGGAATTCTTGGGTCAGGGGGTAAAATCCCAAAGATGATGAAAAAATTAGTTTCCCAGCACTATGTATGACCTCAACAAA